TACATCCTGGATGATCCAAAATTCATTGTGGTAACTCCTGCGGCCCTCAACCCCAAAGAGCTCCAATGTCGTCCTGGTTCCAGATAGGGCTGAGGATTGACGAACTTCAGCCAGAGGTTCTAGATCATCTCCTTGCCCAGGTAATGGTTGATGAGGTAGACCTGGTCCTCTCAGAAGGAGAAGATGTGGTTGGAGAGCCAGCTGGAGCTTTGCAGGTCTCTCCCAAAGGGCTTCTCTACAATGACACGGTTCCAGCCTGTCTGGTTCACGCAGGTGTCATGGATGTTCTTGATGACCGCCTCCTATACAGTGGGGTCAAGGCCTGGTAGAAGAGGTGGTTGGCCTGCTGCCCCTTGTGGAGGGCATTCATGTGGCTGTTGAGGCACTTGTAGGAGGTGGTGTCCTCATACTGGCCAGCCACGTGGGAATTGTGGGCAGAGAATCCCTCCAGCTTGGGCTTCTCCTCTGGGGCGGCTTTGAAGAAAGGTTCGCTCTGTTTTCACATGTCTGCCACTGTGAGGTGGGAGGTAGTGTAGCCCACGATGAAGGTGTCTTTGGGCAGAAGGCCATCCTGGAACAACTGCCAGATGGTGGAGTAGATCTTCTTGGCTAAGTTGGCTGATGCCTCCATGATGATGAAGATACGTGTGTCAGATTGACGGAAGACATTACCCTGGTACAGCTCTTCCCTAGGCTGCGCCACACCCCCCACCTTCCTTAACCATTGGGGATGCCTATGACCGGCTGAGCAGACCCGCTGAACGCAAGGTGTGGGTGGAGCCTCAGAAGCCCCTCCCCTGGGGGGGCAGAACAAGCCCTTAAATTTAGAAAATTTTGGTCTATTTTTTTCTTCCCTTTTCTCTGTTCTCCTTCTGGTATTTCTATTATGTGTATGATGGAGCACTTAGTGGTACCTCACAGGTCTTTAAGGTCTTTAAAGCTTTGTTCATTTTTGCCATCTTTTTCCTTTTCCTCAGAGTAAATTATCTGCATTATCTTCAAGTTCATTGCTCCTTTCTCATGCAGCTCAAATCTCCTGTTGAACCCCTCTAAGTGAATTTTTTTTTTTCAAGTATCGTGCTTTTCAACGCCAGAATTTCTATTTGGTTGCTTTTATGATTTCTGTTTCTACTGATATTCTCTATTTGGTGAGACTGATAACATGTTGTCCTTTAATTCTTTAGATATGGTTTACTTTAATACTTTGAACATATTTATAATAGCTGATTTAGGGGCATCCGAGTGTCATGGTCAGTTGAGAGTTTAACTCTTGGTGTCGGATCTGGTAGTGATCTCAGGGTCATGGGATCAAGCCCTGCCTTAGGCTCTGTACTCAGTGCAGAGTCTGGTTGAGTTAGTCTCTCCCTCTGTTCCTCTCACCCATGTATGCACTCTCTCTCTCAAACAAATAAACAAATCTAAAAAAAAAAAAGGCTCTGTCTAATACAGATGGCCATCAGACACATGACAAGTTGCCCAACATCACACATCATTAGGAGAAATGCAAATCAAAACTACAATGAGCTATCACCTTACACCTGTCAGAATGGCTAAAATCAAAAACACACAAAAAAACGAGTGTTGGTGAGGATGTGGAGAAAAGGAACTCTTGTGCACTGTTGCAGGGAATGCAGTGCATTTCTGGTGTGGCCACTGTGGAAAAACAGTTTGAAGTTTCCTCAAAAAATTAAAAATAGAACTATGCTATGATCCAGTAATCACACCACTGGATATTTACCCACAGAATACAAAATACTTAATTCAAGAGAATACATGCATCTATATGTTTATTGCAGCAATATTTACAATAGCCTAATTATGGAAGCAGCCCAGTGTCCATAGATAGATGAATGGATAAAAACGTGGTATATATATACAGTGGAGTATTACTCAGCCATAAAAAAGAATGAAATGTTGCCATTTGCAACAACATGGGTAGAGCTGGAGAGTATAATGCTAAGCAAAATAAGTCGGAGAAAGCAAATACCATGTGATTTCACTCACGTGGAATTTAATAAACAAAATAAAGGAAAAAGAGAGAGAGACAAAGCAAGAAACAGATTCTCAACCATAGAGAACAAACTGGTTACGGAGTGGGGGGATGGGTGAAATAGGTGCACGGGATGAAGAGTACAGTTATCGTGATGAGCACTGAGTCGCGTAGAGAGCTGCTGAATCACTATATTGTACACCTGAAACTAAATATAACACTGTATGTGAACTAGACTGGAAATAAAACAAAAATTTGGGGTGCCTAGGTGGCTCAGTCAGCTAAGCGTCCAACTTCGGCTTGGGTCATGATCTCAGGGTCCTGGGACTGAGTCCTTCATCAGCAGGGAGTCTGCCTCTCCCTCTGCCTCTGCCCCTCCTCATGACTCATATGCACATACACTCTCAAAAACACATTTTTTTTTAAATTAAAAAAATAAAATAAAAAACTAAAAAAAAAGAAATTAATTAAAATTAAAAAAAGAAAATCTTTGTCTAGTAAGTTTGACATCTAGCCTTCCTCAAGGGCAGTTTCTAGAGACTGAAATGAGTCATATATATATATATATATATATATATATATATATATATATAATTTTTTTCTCTTTGAAAACCAGATCCAGTAGGTAACATAATATGGCAACCCTGAATACAGACACCACTAGCACCACCAGCACCAGCACCTCTGCCAGGCTTTACTACTACTGTTATCTGTATATTTGTTTATTCAGTGATTTTCCTGGACTAATTCCATGAGGTCTATATTTCTGTAGTGTGCAGCCACTGATGTCCCCACTGGGTCAGCTTAATGGTCAGATAATGATTACAGAGATTTACTTAAATGCTTTGAGCTAGAAAATCTTCCACTTCTTGCCTGGGAGCTCTGGGGTTGAAGCATGCCTTCAATGCTCAAGTATTTACAGCTTTGTCTTAGTCTTTACTTCCTGCTTGTACAGGACCTCAAGGTCAGCCAGAAGTGAGAGATTGGGGCCCATCAGGCCTTTCCAAACCATGCATGTCTTAGTCTTTGAGATCCCCAGAAATACACCAGAGCTTTTCAAATTCCCCTAGGTACATCCAATTTCTCAGATGTCCTTTTTAAATTTTTGGTTGGGCTCATGTTTGCCCCCCAACTGGTATCGCAGTCTTTGGCAGCTGTGAGGTTAAGCAATTGAAGCTGATTACATTTAACAAATGCCCTGGAAATAGGGGTTTTCCTGAGCAGAGAGCTTCAACTTGGATTAAATAATAACACTCTGTATGTAGATCAGGCTTTTCCAATGAACTGTCACATAGGTCAAACAGTGATGATGCTTGGGTGACGGAACTTTCTGCAGTACTCCCAACCCAATCTGTCCCCTCTAGCAGCTGCTAAGCTTGCTGGTTTTCAAGGCCACTGTGAAGATGGGGCTAGCAGGGTGGCAATAGGCCAAGTTAAAGCCCCACAGACCCCATGGTTCTTAGCAAAGTTGAGTGGTTTCTCTTGGATAAACCCTTCATTAGATTGCTGTAATCTAAAGTTATGGAAAAGTTGATTTTATAATCTTGCCGATATTTTTGTTGCTTTCTTGGAAGAATGGATTTACAGGACTCCTTACTCCACCATTCCAGAAGTCCCCTGTTCTGGTTCGAGATCATTTCTAAGAGCAAGCTTGCCCGGGTGTTTACTAACAAGAAGGTGTTCCCTGGAAAAAGGATGACAGCACTGCCCTTGCCCTAGAGGTATCTGGATTTAAAAACAAGAAAACACAGTGGGCACCTGCGTGGCTCAGTCATTAAGCATCTGCCTTCAGCTCAGGTCATGATGCCACATCCAGCTCCCTGCTCAGTGAGAAGCTTGCCTCTGCCTCTACCTCTCCCACTCCCCTTGCTTGTGTTCCCTCTCTCACTGCTTCTCTTTCTGTCAAATAAATAAGTAAAATCTTAAAAAAAAAAAAAAAAGACACAAGGTGAAAAAGGGATTCATAGGAATTGTTCCAAGATGCTGGGGATGACATGGGGGCCTTTGGTAAAAGTCAGTGGGCTGTCAGGACTCACACCCAGATCCCTGATACCTAACCCCATCGATCTCTTGGCTGCTTCCCTTTAGGAGATGCCTTTTTCAGGGGAAGGGAGATGCCGTATTTTGAATACTTCATCTAAGCTCCAAGTTTCATACTCAAGATTCTCACACTTACCAGCATAGAAAATGATCTTATTTCCATTTTACAGATGAAGAAACTGAGGTTCACAGGAGTCAAGTCACAAGACCAAGGTTAGACCATTCGTGGGTGGTGGAGAGGCGATCCCATTCCAGAGTGTAAGCTATTCCACTGTCCCCAAACCCAGTGTCCTGACCCACTGGTTGGCAATGGTGTGGGTAGGGAGGCAATCCATGAAAGTGCCCAAGATCACAATTTTGAGCACAATAGGCAACCACTCTTTTAGTCCTCTCTTCCAAGAGATACCTCCCCACTAGCCCCAGAGCGAGGAACAGCAGCAAAGTAATAGGTATGGTTTGTCCCAACCCAAGCACCTGCTGTGGGGGTGAGGGTGGGGCTCACGGGTAAACTCCTCCCTTCCTTTGGGAGCCAGAGCCTCCTGGCAGTCCGCTCAGATTAAGGGTGGCAAGGGCAAAGCCTGGCTTTGACTTCAGGGCTGGGAGCACAGAGCTGTCCCCTTCTTGTGCTCAACAGAATAAAGTCCACAGGCCTGAGTGACTGAGCCCTACCCCGTCCACCGCAAGCCTAGGGTGTGTTTGCAGAGGACAGAGGGTATGTTCCCAAATGCCCTAGCATCCCCACAGCCCACGGCTCCTTCCATACCCTGCCCCAAATGCAGCAAAGGGGACGTACTCATTACAAAATCATTCACAAGAGACAAACTTTATTTGGACCCCTCCGAAACTGGCAAGGAAATAAGCACCGCCACAACATCACAGTCCCATGTGCACAAATGTCTTCAGAGACGCTGTCCGCTGGGACTTCACCATCACCCTGCGAGGCGGGCAGGGTGGCTAAAGGCTGCTGCTTTATGGAGGGCTTATCGGGGTGACTCAGCTTCTACACAGGCATGTAAACATGCCATCCAGAAGCTTCCCCGCATCTGCTCCCGGCTTCTTGATACCCCGGGATGGGCTGCGCTTCTCCCAGATCTATGCCTATAGCAGAGGTTCCTCCAGTCTAAAACCAGGGATCAGGCTGCCCCATCGCTGAACAATGGCCCTTCTCCTTGACGTGACCTATGGGGACCAGGACCGCTGGTCAGGTCTACGGTGGCTGCACCTGGTGGTCAGGCAAAAGCCTTGGCAAACCCTGGGCACAAATGAACTTGGCTAAGCAGAGGGCCCAGTGCTGAAGCAGCAGGGAGACAGTTCTGTTGAGGGCAGGAAAAGGGGCTGGCCCCAATGACCTTTTAGGGAGGGGGGGAAGCACCATGGCCTTCCCGCTGCCCTCTTCATGCCAGGCCTGCTGCTGACCAGCTTTTCTGATGCCTCCAGAATGTGGGTGGGGGTACCTCACGCAGGGGCCATGGCCTTGATCTCCCAACGACACACAGGGCACTTGGCTGAGTCCCTGAGGACCCGACCGGCGCAGGAGCTGCAGAAGTATGCATGGCCGCAGGGAAGAAGGCAGGTGTTGGCAGCATGGTCGAAGCAGATGATGCACTCTAGTTCTGCTGTGGCTGGGAAAGGGCACAACACAGCTGGGACACAGGGAGGCAAAGGGTGGGCCCCCTCCTTACGCTACAACTACAGGGCGGAGAACCATATAGTCCTCCTGTGACAAATACTAACCTCACGAGAAAATGCTTACAACATAATCAGATGGAAAAAAAGAAAAAATTGGGATGAAAACCATCATGTACATACATATATATACCATAAAATTCCAACTTAGTAAAAAAGGGAAACAGAGCACAATTGCCCCACAGATATAGGACTACAAAACTGTAGGCGCAAATCCACCTAAGAGGTAATGGGTGATTCTTAAAATTTCCATATTTATTCCTGAATATTTATTTTATTTCTGCTTGACCAATCTTTTATTATGAACACGGACTGCTTTTTAAAGCAGGGACAAAAGAACATTATTTGTGCATGAATGTGCTCTTGTAACTTGTAAAGTTAGCCAATGTTCAAGAAGGCAGAGCTGTTAAATTGTTTTTAGGTTTCCCGTAGGCAGCGCCAAATCTTTTGGCCTAAAGCCCATGGGAGACTTCGTGGACCTGGAAAGACTTTCGTGAGCCCCCAGAGCTAGGGCCTCTCCTGGTGCCTCTGGTGCTGGAGTCCCCAGGAGTCCCTAGTCCCTGGGGCTGGGGGGAGCCACTCACCCTGAGGCTGCAGAGTCTCATCGCTGAAGGCCCATGGCATGGCGGAGGGGATGACGCTGGCTGTGGTATCTGAGGCAGAGAGGGAGACTCAGGGCCCAGGGAAAGCAAAGCCAGGGTGCTCCCACCCCACCCCCACCAGCCCCTTGGGTAGTTCCACGGGCTTTCTTCCCTGGGCTGCAATGCCGGAGCTCCTAGCCGATCTTAAGGTCCCAGCCATCCCCTCCCAGTTTAACCCAGCAGAGAATTTATGAGGCTGTATATTCTTTTTCCTAAACCACCCCACCCTAACCCCTCCTTTAGACATCTGCTCTTTGCCCTACTGTTCCTGCCTGACTGGAGACCCTCAGCGTTATCGACCTTCCTAAACCCAGACGTGCATTAAAATCCCCCCAAAGGCCGGGAAAACAGGTGCTTGGACGTACACCAGACCTACCAAAACAGGTGTCCCAGGGGTGAGGCTTCAGCAGCTGTGACAAGCAATTTTAAAACGGGGGGGGGGGGGGGGGGGGGGGGGGAGGAACGGGGCGGAATGGTCTGCCTGTGCAGAACCCTGGAGGACCCGCACAGGAATGCCAATATTTCCTTTTATGGTTGTTTCTTGTATCCACTGTCCCTGAAATCCACTCTCCTTCCAGGTGGTTGGAGGGATGGTTCTTGTTTTTCCACTCATGGATGGAAGGGCTGAGTTTACCCGCACGAGCGGTCTTCCTATGTGCTTCTAACCCTCATACCTTTGCTCTCCACACTTGACTCTTGCAAACTCCTACTTAGACAGCAAAACCCAGTCTCCAAATCTCCCTTTGGGAAACAGCCCTTTAACAAATGTTTGCAGTACTAGTCCTATCTTCTTAGCATTCTCTAGGGACAAGGTTGCCCTCCCTTTGACTGGGTCTTGTCTATCTGGCGTCCCCAGCGCCCATCTTCATATCTGACCCTGGGCAAGAGCTGATGTGAAAACTGTACATGAAGAAATGAACGGATCTCCCCATGGCTGTGGGTGGGGGCGCGGTGTCACTTGAGCCTCCACCTCCCACCCAGGGGCGGCGCCCGGGTCCCCGCAGGTTGCCTCACCCAGCAGCTCGATGGCTTTGGTGGTCCCGTACACGTCAATCACGGCCCAGAGTGGGGCGTCCAGGGGCACGCCCTTGCGCAGCAGGAGCCGGGGCCCCGCGTTGACCCTGGCGTAGAGCCGGCCTCGGCAGTTCACCCAGAAGTGGATCACGTCCCCCAGCAGCGCGCCGCCCTCGGGCAGCATGGCCGCCCACGTCGGGCTCTGCTGCTCTAGGTCTGGGCACACAAAGGGCGGCAAGCTGGGCGCGGACACCTGTGCGGGGTCCAGGCGCGTGAAGCCCACCCGGAGCCCTCCGTACCAGCGGGTTTCGTGCCACAGCACGCGCAGAGCCACCCGCTCGCCGGGCGGCACAGGCCGCTGGCTGAACACGATGCCGTCGTGGAACGTGGCGCACCTCTGCGCAGTGCACCGCCGGGCATCGAGATGCACCTGCATGCCCTTAGCCTCAGCGTGGAAGCGGAGCGTCTCTCGCGGTGCCTTGGCGTCTGGGGGGGTGGGGGTGGGGGCGTCAGTGCGGTAGGACCGGACCCACCGGCTCCCCAGAGTCATCTCCACATACCCCCCATCACCCTGGGGCCACTGCTCCTGCCCCCATCCAGAGACCATCCCTCCTCCCCCAGACCTGATTAAACCCTGGTAAGGAACGCACTTTGCGTACCTAGGATCTGAGTTCCAACATGAACTTCCCCAAGCCTCAAGGCCCCTCGCGGAGGGATGGTGTAAAAATTAAAGGAACTCGTGCCTGTGCCGGCTCTCAACACCTGCTAATGGTTATTGGCATTAAATAGAAAGAGCAGGTTTTAGAACCGTAGATATAACATGATCCAGATTTTCTTTGACACATATGTTTATATGTTTATATATATTCTATCTGTATCTAGAAACAACCTGAAAGGAGATGGAGCTGCTAATTGTGGTGACCTCTGGTGGATGGGTCTTGGTGTTTGCGCTGTCTTCCTCTCTGACTTTATCATTGTCCCACAGAGAACCTGCACCGTTTGTGAAGGCCATGGCCACCAGTAAGGGTGACTTCCTTTTCTAGTAGGAGAAAGGGGCCCAACAGTCCCCCCACAGGGTGAGGTGGGGAGAAAGGGACACAGGCTGGAGAAGGAGCCCCAGGTCTGCCCCTCAGAATCCTGGGCTGGGCCAGCCAAGACCCACGGCTGGACTTTAAAATCAGGGGACGGGGCGCCTGGGTGGCTCAGTGGGTTAAAGTCTCTGCCTTCGGCTCAGGTCATGATCTCAGGGTCCTGGGATCGAGTCTTGCATTGGGCGCTCTGCTCAGCGGCAAGCCTGCTACCTCCTCTCTCCCTCTCTGCCTGCCTCTCTGCCTACTTGTAATCTCTGTCAAATAAATAAATAAAATCTTTTTAAAAATCAAATCAAATCAAATCAGGGGACTTCCCAACTCAACTCCCCTCTGTAGCCAAGAGAGGAAGTTCCCTACTGAGTAGCCCTTCCCCTCCAGCTCCAAGCCTGAGCCTGGAGGAAGCTGGTGAGCTTCCTGCCCTGCAGCCTTGGGCTTCATCTCTCTCCCCTCCACTCTTCCCTCCTGTCCTCCTCTTTCTGGGTTGGAAGATGGAAGCTGAAAACAGAAGGGAATTTAACCAGAACTTGAGCCAGACCCCAATCCAAAAAAGCAAGGCCCTCCCCTCCCAGATCTCATCAGTTTCCCCAGCCACCATTCTCTGACCACTTACAAGCCTGTAAGATTCTAGCAGGTCACAAGGAGGGGAGGCTATATCCGGTCAGGTACAAGGGATCCCCTTGAGGTCATAAGGAATCTGTCCCTGATGGATACAGGCCAAAGGCAAGCCTACCACGGTTCTCTAACCTGCGGCTTTAGAGACAAGTACTCACTCTGGCCTTGGGAACATCTGAACCCTGTTATCCAAGTTCACCCCTCCTTCCCCCAAGTCCCCTGCATGACTGTCACCCCCTTCTGGTATACCCTCGTGTCTCCCTTCCTTTCTGATAGTCTGCCCAAGTGCCTTTTCCCGGAGGCTATGCACAAGCAAAGGGGAATCCCCAAGTAGGCACAGACGGTGACCAGGAACCAGAGTCGAGGGCCCTGACATCAGATGGACTGTCTTTGGGCCCACTGCAGAGCCGCTGAGGCATCCAGGAGGCTCTGTGGAGGGAGCCATGTCTGACGTCTGATTCTAGTCCCAGCTCTGTTGCTTGCCTACACAGGTCACTGCCCCTCCGGGTAGAGGTCTCCTTATCCACCAATGAAATTGATATGTATGGCCAGCCACGTCCCCAAGTCTCCAGGTACCTTGCCTGGAGATCCTGAACATGAGTTAACGGCCCACTTGGGCAGGCATCGTGACTTTTGGAAGTCCCCACTCCCCCATACGCACACCCACCCCCCCACCCCCTCACTCCCCCCACCCCCCCACCCCGTTCAAAGAGAATCTTTGGAGTAAGTCTTTTGGAATCAGAAGTGATGAGGGTCTGCCCTCTGCTCAGCGAGGACCTCCCTGGATCTTCATCATCTCCATCACCACCCCTCCAGCCATCAAGCCTCTCGGGTGCCAGGCACCTTTGAACCCTTACAGCTTCTTTCACTCTTCCCACAACCTGCAGGGAGGCACGCAGAGGGAGCTGAGCTGGGGCGCTTCTGCACCACTCCGCAGCCAGGAGCAGAGGAGCCTGGGCCCAGCTCCAGCCCCTGCACTCCCAGGCCATCTCCTTCATGGCACCACTGTGACCTGAAATCCACAGCTGCCGCAGAAGCAGCAGCAGCAACCATGGCTTGGTCCTCACCCTCCAGATCACATCCCTCCCCACCTTCCCAGCTCTGGGGGCTACCTGCTGCTGGGGTGTGAGCCTCTGGGGTCCCTCAGGAGCTAAGAGCTGAGGCTCCAGGCTCTCTGCCTGGGAAGGAGCAGGGTTCTGAGATGCAGTCTGGACCTCTGGTGATAAAAGCCCAGGGTCTCTACCTCCTGCCTTGAGCGCTGAAGGCACGTTGTGGTTTGAGGTGAGGCTCTCGGAGAATTACTGGTAACCATTTGGTTATGCCTCTGGCAGCCCCATAAGCTGGCAGGGCTTGCCTGGGCCCTGGCCTGCAGATGAAGAAACTGAGGCCCCAGGGAAAATTGAGTCACCCAAGGTTCCACAGCTTCCCCTCTCCTTCTGCATCCCTGGTCTAGGGACCAAGCTTAGGGCTCCCACTTACCAGCCTGTGAGCAGAGCTGGGCCCCCATCAGCCTGGGGTCCTAGGGTACAGGTCCCTGGGTCTGGAAAGAATTGTCTGGAGAAGGCCCGTGGACAGGTTTCCAAAGATTCAGTGGGTCTCCTTGTTATGGGCCAGGATCATGTTACAAGGTTGATGATTAATTAGAGGTTGCTGTCACGGGTTATGATATCAAGGGAATTTCCTGATGATTGCCTCTGGCTTGCAGCAGACCGGCCGCAGCTGGCGGATCGAAAGGAAGCAGGGACTCCACAGATGGCTTGGATAGGACTTAGGATAGACTTCTCCCTTACTTCTGACCCGTCGTTCTCAGCCCAGCTGTGCATTATAATTGCCTGCGGCAAATTAGTAAAGTACTCACGCCTAGACCTGTCCCCAGAGACTGATTTCAGTGGCCTGTGGGTGGGCCCAGTGTTAGTTTTCTTTTCTTTTTTTTTTTTTTTTTAAGATTTATTTATTTGACATAGAGAGAGACATCGAGAGAGGGAACACAAGCAGAGGGAGTGGGAGCGGGAGAAGCCGGCTTCCCGCTGAGCAGGGAGCCTCGAAGCCAGGACCCCGGGATCATGACCTGAGCGGAAGGCAGACACTTAACGACTGAGCCAGCCAGGCGCCCCCAGCATCAGTTGTTTTTCAAAAGCCCCCCAGATGACTCCAATGTCCAGCTAGGGTGGACATGCACCACTACAGATCCAGGCACACCGTGGGTGCTTAATCAGTGTTGCTCAAGTGGCTTGAATGGAATTAGCAGCGTCCCCGGACCTGTGGAGTTGCCCCAGCCTGGGTCTCAGGCAGAGAGGAGAGGGGTAAGTCAGCAGAATGGGAGAGGTATTGGTTGTCCCCACAACCCTGCTGGAGTTTCAATTCCACTTTCCACGCTACAAAATGTATATCGGCGTCCCGCAGGAGGTCATGGCGGAGGCCTGCCTGCTGGTGTGTTAGCCAGCCGTGCCAAGAAGTCAAAGGTCAACCTTAACTTCTGGATCTCAGGGTTGTGAGTTCAAGCCCCATGTTGGGTGTGGAGTCTATTTATAAACAAAAACAAAAAAAGTCAGAGATCTTCTGCCCTGCCCATGTCTATAGGAAAGCCGAGGCTGGTAGAGGGAAAATGGCTTATCCTGACCAGTGCTTCTCACACAGTCGCAGTCACCATATCGCCTGGGGAATCTTATTAAAATGCTGATTGGTTTTGAAGGCCTGGGGCTACAGGCTCGGATTTTACTTTTCTAACGAGGTGGTTCTGCAGAACCGACCTCAGGTGGCAGGGCCCAGGGTTGGTTTGGAGGCTAATGGGTACCCTGGCCCCCCACCTCCAGGCTCAGCCCTTCCCAAGACCCCAGATCAAGGCCATGATCAGTGACTACTCTGAACTCAGTTAAGGGGATGGATACCCCCATGTCTGTCGCCAGAGAAGCTGGGGACAGTAGTGCTGGGTCCTGGGCTGGGGAGGTTGTTCAGGTGGGAAAGGATGAAGAGTCTGGAGACCCAAGTTCTGCTTCCTGTGCTTTCTTGCCCTCCCCTGTCCTCATCGGGCCCCGGTGTCCCCATATGTAAATTAGGAAGCCAAGGTGAACTGGTTTCTGGGTCCTTCTATCCCCAACATGTTGTGATTCTAGCCTTGGCAACGGACAGGTGACAGCGGCCTTGCTCCAGCTGCCCTCAGAAACTGTTACCTGGACCCTGGACCTTCTCTTCCACACCACACCCCTGGCCGGCCTCCCTCGGTTTCCCCAGCTAGAAGCTGTCTCCCAAAGGCCAAAGGCAAACTGGTGAGAAAAGTCCATAGCAATCACGGCGAGTCCAAGGTTGACGGTTCCAGCTGGTCCAGCCTGAGGCAAGGGCCACACGCTTTATGGTCCCAACCTAAGGGATACAGGACCTTGTCTCTGGGCGGTGCTGGGGCCCAGAGATCCATCGGTGCTTCCCGAACCTGGCTCCACCGGCATCACTGGCTAACTTGGGCAGTGGCCAGAGGGCTGGAGCCAAGAGCACCCTGTTGATAAACCACGATCTTATAGAAGTGATTATGGAAGCTTATCAGGGAAGTCCCCTCAGCCCTGGTGGAAAATTACCTGGCAAGCTGTAGACACCGGGCTACCTGATGCCAACAGGCTGATGTGGTCTAGCTCGACCTTCAGGACCTCAAGTGGGAGCCAGCCTTCTGAGGAGCTGCCATCCTGCCTCAGGCTGACACTTGGGGCACGGGGGTGCCCAGGCAGCACCCACATCTCACACTTACTGTTCTAAGTCTAGGACTGTGTTAACTTGCTAATCCTCGTGGCAGAGTCTCAAAATTATTTATTGCAATCATTCCCATTTTACAGACTGGGAAACTGAGGCACAAGGAGGAGAAGCACATGGTTTACAATCACGAGGCAGTAAACTACAAATCAGAACTTGGCCTCGGCCATCTGGCTCAAGAGCCAGTAAGTTAACCTCCATGCTACTGTAACTGAACAAAGCCCATAGAAGCCCACAGAGCATCTGCAGTAAAGAAAGAGCCTATTTGTTGGTGTGGCTCCACCCAGGAAAATGGGGAGCTAATGTTCCCAGTCCCGAGCTCCCTGATGGCTTACAAGCAAGGGTTTTTAAAAGATGAAAATCCAGGGTAAGGACCTGGGGTTTTGGATCATGCTGATTGATTAGGGATTATGTCGGCTCTAATATTTCCTTTCCTTTTTTTTTTTTTTTAAGATTTTATTTATGAGAGAGAGAGAGCGCACAAGCAGAGGCAGCAGGAGGCAGAGGGAAAGGGGAAGCAGGTTCCCCGCTGATCAAGGAGACTGACATGGGACTTGATCCCAGGTCCTGGGATCATGACCCGAGCTGAAAGCAGACGATTAACAGACTGAGCCACCCAGGCACCCCTTTAGTATTTCCCTTCTTGATCACCAGGCAGCTCCCTGACTGTGATGAGCTGGTGCTTCTGCTCAGGGACCTGGTCACTCCGTTTTCGGGGCCTGGGATTGGGGATAATTCTCAGCAGATTGCATTAGTGCTGTCATCTCTAGAGCACAGGGGCAGAAGTTCTCCATCCTGGAACTATTGCTAAGCTGCAAACTATCTTATTTTTTTCTTGCAAACATGGCACATTGTGTTCGTTTTCTCAGGCAGAAGAGCGTCCCGTGGACTTTTTGGGATGCAACTTATTCTTATTTCCTGAGGCATTTTTAAAGGTTTTTAAAACAGTAACTATGGGGCTCCTGGGTGGTTCAGTCGGTTAAGGGTCTGCCTTCGGCTCAGCTCATGATCCCAGAGTCCTGGGATTGAGCCCCACATAGGGCTCCCTGCTCAGCCGGGAGCCTGCTCCCTCTTCCCCTCACCCCACTCATGTTCTCTCTTGCTCTTGCTCTCTCTTTCTCAAATAAATAAAATCTTAAAAAATAATAATAAAACAGTAACTAAGGGCTACAGGACTTTGGCCAGAGGCAACTAGGAGCCAGATGTCTGAATCGTGGGGTCTGTGGGGGGCTTGCATCCCCAGTGTCACTATGTCCCTTCCGCCCCTCTTCGCTTAAGCCACTTTGCAGCCTTCTGAGCATTTAGTGGTCCTCCCTGTCTGACTGTGCTGACCCCACAGTAGGAGTTTTGTGGATTGTTGCTAAGGGGTTGCCTGAGTGAGGCAGATGCCACCTCAATGGAGTCCTTCCCTCCCCTCCAAGCGACCTACACAACTGTTGTGCGCATTTCCTCCCCGACAGTTCTCGGTCTAAGCGCCCCCTGGTGGCTGTCGTCAGTACTGCAGGATGTGTTGAAGCCCTTCAAGCTAGGAGGGATACCCCCAGGCAGGGAGGTCAGAGGGCTGAAGATTCTGAGATCTCCGCGCCTCCTCTCCTGACCCTGAGGCTCCTCATAGTCCCTCCGTCCCTCCCCAGGGTTCCCTCACTGGCTTTCAGCCCTCGTCTTTTGCCCAGGGCCCCTTCATTTCAAAGGGCTTCCACAGAAGCCTTTCCTAAGTAGCCTCAAGCGCTCTGAGAAGCTGGCCGCCGGACAGCGGATTCAATCCCCACCGCACGGCTGAGGGAGCTGAGCATTTGCCCATTGTTTGCACCAACTGTGATGGAGCAGAAATGGGAAGCCAGTGGGAGCCCAGCCCAAACTGAGGACAGCTAAGCAGCCCAGCCCCTTGTATCTCCAGCCACCAGGGCCCTGGGACCCCTACCTTATTATACTTGTCTGTGTTCGGCTTCCCCACTGGGATGAAAGCTCAGAGGGCAAGGGGCTACCGTGCCTAGAAACTGGCCCCTAGAGACATCAGGGCCATGTGCACAGTAGGTGGTCAGCAAGGATTTGTCAGTTTCTTCTAAAATTGCTGGTCCGCCTACTTAATGACCCAGAGATGTCACTCCTAGTGGAATGCCTGACAGACTCGGTGCATATGTCCCCTAAGACCAGTACATGAATGCTCAGAGCGGAGTTATTCATAATAACCCCAGACTAGAAACAGCCCAAATGTCCATTGTGCAGGACACTCTGATGTGCTGCTCCGATCCTGCTTCAGGAATGAAGAACTTCCAGTGGCCGGAGTGCTACCCTCATGAGGTCAGCTGAGGTTCTTGTGCAAGTACCGTAGTCTGGCTCTCTCCCCGTCCAGTCCTATTTCCACAGGTGTTGACCCCAAGAACACCCGCTAATGAGTCCCGTCAGTAATCTTTGTCTCAGGGGAATCCAGCCTCCCACACCCATCGACAGGAGAATGGAAATATACTGCCACGTAGTCACACCGTGGAAGATTTGTGGCAATAAAAATGAGCAAAATACTGTTAGCCACAACAACATGGTTAAACCTCAGTGATGAGATGTTGCCTTAAGAGAAGATCCAAAAAGGCCCCACTGTGTGCCTCCGCTTTTATGAAGTTTAAAAACAGGTGAAGTTAATCCGTGGTGTTAGAAATCAGGGTAGTGCTCAGCTTTGGGAATTACTGACTGGGAAGGGGTCCATAGGAGCCTCTGGGGTGCTGGAACCATCCTCTATCTTGATCGGGTGATATAAAGACATATGGAAAAATTCGTCCAGGTGGACCCTCAAATCGCATGTTAATTGTTCCTTAATTACATATTGGCTAAATTCCCTTCAAGCCCTAAAACTCTGATTCTGAGTAAGGTGATGAAAGACGGAGTAGCAGGGCGCCTGGGTGGCTCAGTGGGTTAAGCCTCTGCCTTCGGCTCAGGTCATGATCTCAGGGTCCTGGAATCGAGTCCCGCATCGGGCTCTCTGCTCAGCAGGGGGCCTGCTTCCCCCACC